AAAATTCACAATTTCAATAAATTATGAAATTACAGTTTGCTGTAAAATATTGCTCAATTCAATTTTTAATAAAAGTTTTAGAAAACCATATAAATAACGAAGACAGAAAAAATCAAGAAAAATTTAAAGTTTCTGTCAAGAAAATGTAAACATCAAAATATTTCCAAAGGTGGTTGATTATATCCTCATTTTTGTCATAGTATTTATACTTCTGATCGAAGTAATTTCGTATACTATTAGATAATGAGTAAATTAGATTAATTTTAATAAAAAAAATATAACATAAAAAATGACTAGAGTATCAAATACATCATTATTGTGAAATCCAATAATACTATTTAGGGAACACTAATCATACTAATTTTAAATTAAGTTTAAATATTGACAGTCAGAACATTTTAACTATTATTTAAAAAAAATGAAGATTAGTTACTGAATACTTTCAAATGTTCAATTAATTAAATGTAACTGGATTTTCATACGGTTAATTTTAATTATAATTATACTAACAGTACTCTTACATCTTTAAGCAATTTATTTTATTTGTAGTGTCTACAATTAAAATGTAAATACAGTGGAACCTCGCTTAACGAGTTTAATCCGTTCCAAAATTTTCGGATTTTTACTCTTACAGTGAAATACTCGTGAAACAGTTTTTCCCATATAAACTAATGTAAAATACGATAATGCGTTCTATGCCGGAAAAAAAGTATAACTTGGTCTCGATGTTTAATAATTTTACTTTTCATATCTATGGTTATTTTTATTCTTAGTCTTTTTATTTGGAGGCCTGCAAGTGTTATTAAATTTTGCACAAAATATTTGTTTATATTACTTGTATAAATTCGGGGACTTAGTTTAGATCTCTTTACACTTTTAATATTTGTTTATATAAAAAATCGTACATAGTGTGTTTATATATTATAGTAATGGTTGGACACAAAACATTTGTGTTTGTGTTGCATATACAGCAACAAATTATATTTGAAAAGTATAGTCCGCTTTATATAAAGATGACAAAGAAAATCGAAGATGGTTAATATATTAAAAAATACACATAATATGTGTACACAAGTTTTAAAAGTAATGAAGCCGACTCGAAATCCGGACTTCTCTTCTCATCGTCACTCGTTATGCGACACGTCGCTCATTAAGCGAGTCATTTTTCTTACAATTCAATTTGCTCGTTAAGTGAGGTTCCACTGTCTATGTAATATTCAGTAAAATTTTAGTTACTTTTATATAAAAAAAAAACAGAAGCATATGAGTCGTTAGCACTTGGACTTCAATTAGGGCCAATAAATATTACTAACAAAATAAATTGTACAAAAAACTCATATATTTGTTATTTGCTTTTATTAATTAAGAATTAATTAATTTCAACAAAAATAAAATGAGTAATATAAAGAAAATATTAAAATTCCTCTATACAAAATAGTAGAAACTTGTGGATGCGACGGGTTTCTTATGCAGGAAATTCCGATATCGGAAAACTAATTAAAAAAAATATTCTAAACAAAATACATACAACGTATTATATAAATTCGTATTTAACATACTTTTTTCTCGAAATCGAATGTTAACGCTCTTTATGCAAATAGAAATTTATTCGGCCCGGATGAATTACGTAACCGACAAACAAAATATATTTTCACGCGAACGCTGTTCTCTCTTTTTTTATATATATATATATATATATTTTTTTTTGTTTGGTGTTATCTCATCGTTCAATGTATTCATTAATTCGATTGAATAAGACCTGATGTTTATATCGTCAAACTCAAATATTTTTTTATATAATTTTTTAAAAATTCAATTGAATTATAAAATAATAACAGCATTATTTTATTTAATGTGTATTCTCAAATATTTACTTTAAGATAGTAAATAACAGATGGATACTGTTTAGTTCTCCATCTTCATTACATTTGTACCGCTAAAAATATTGTTTACTGTTCTTCTATAGAAAGATTGTAATAATTGACAGTAAATTAAAAGAAAAAAAAATATTGCATCAATTGTACAATTACATAACTAATTTCAAAATAAATATGAAACTAAGTAATCAATTGAAAAATATTATATGAAATAGAGAATATATTGAATAAGTTTCTTAATATTATTAATTATAGTAATCCTAATGTTTATTCGCATTTTATAAAGTAAAGTAATTAATTTCAATAATCTATTATGGTATGAAATATTTGTGTATATATACAAAAAAATAGGTGGTAATAGTTAGGTCAAACTTGGCTTAAATTAAGGTCACTAAAATAAATAAATAAATAAAAAAGTTTAAGTTTGTTAAAATAATAATCATCTATTATTATATTTATTTTGAGTTTCCTTTTATTTATAAATATTTCATATAAAAAATTGAATACTTGTATTTGAAATATTCGCATTGATAAAAAAATGAATTGAAAAACATCTGTTTGTTAAAATAAAACAATATTTTTTATTGTTATAAAGTCAGAGGGCTATTAACCATTGGTTTTAAAAAAAATGAAAAGAATTTCATTTCATTGTTCATAAAAAAAAAGCGAGTAAATGATTTAAATAATTTGTTTTTGTGTTTCATGTGGTTATTGTTATATCGGCTGCAAAGATCTATTGACAATAGGTTTTTCTGACCTTTTTTACTTTATTATTTAGTAATTATTTTTAAAACTATAAATGAATACTTACAATTATGATGGTCCAAATTGATTAAGTCCAAAATTCAGCACAATTTAAATTTGATGTGAAGAGAAACGAGCACTTTTTCTTTATATTGTTTAACTCTTTAATTATATTTTATTTTGTAAAATGTAATCAAGAGAAAAAAACAATTCTCTAATGTTTTCTAATAGTTATAGAATGTCATGAACATGGTACTATGTGGTCTGATGGTCGCGTTAACGCGATAGAGACTGTTCTGGAGAAGAGTTTTCGAGAAGCTAAGCTGTAGCAAGCGGAAGTATGTTGAGCTGGTCGAAGAGAAAGCGTTAAAGAAAGTAGCTCAGAGTGTTCAAGAGCGGGCATTGAAACGGGATAAGGAGTATAATACGGTGTCCAAAGTAACAGCAGCAGCTCTCGGGTCCGGCCCACGGCTTGCACAACACGTCTCATTGGATAACGTTATGTCACTCGTCTTATTGTGCGACGTAATCAATTGCAAAATCTCATTTTGTTCTTCCTATCTCAGAAAAGAAAAGAAGCGAAGAAATGGTGGAGGCGAGATAAAAGAGGAGCGAAACGATTGCGCAATGGGTAACTATTCCTCCTCATCTTCTCCGCGTCACCGGTTACCCGAAATCAGGTGATTCTTGGAGTAATTTACTATTGCAACATCCACACATTATTGCATGCAACAGTTGACTTTAATATTTTCGCCTGTTTACGGAACTCTTTTTCCGAGAGTTGGTAAAATACCAAATATTTGGCATTTCTCTCTCACTAATATTGAACGGAATAATAAAACGCAGTTTTTTCTCTTCTAATTACATAAATTATTATTTTCTATTAGTATTTTACAAAAAAAAAACACTAAAGAATTTCAAACTACAATAAGTGTACATATAAAATCAAAGTTTAACAATAAGATCATGTGAACTGTGAGACGAAAAGGTTGAAAAACAGTAGACTAAGTGCTGTTCCCGAACAATCGAGAATTGGAAAATTTTATTTTAATATTACACCTCTCATATTATAAATCAGAGTTTCTTACCTTTTTGCCGCACGACCTATCATATTTGTTGGGTCGTAGTTGTACTGCGATCCAATTACCATAAGTATTTAACCAGTTTCTCGCGACCTATTAAAAATTTAACGGCTGTTTATATTATAGATTATATTTTAAAATAGAGTGGAACTTCGGTTAACGAAAACCTCACATAAAGAGTAATTCCCATAACGAGCAAAACAAATTATTACAAAAATTGCTTGCATAAAGAGTGTCAAAGAGAAAGAAGGGAAGTTGCGATTTTGCATTGTTTGACCTTAAGAGGATATCATGTGTAATTTATTTTGGCAAAGTTTAATTTTAGTCAATATTTTTTTCCGATGTCCTGATTTAATTCTATTCTGTTTCAGTACTATTCTGTTTTATCCATGTTTGTTTTGTCCTGTTCTCTTGTATAACGATCTGTTTTATTCTGTTTTGATAAGTCACGTTATGTGCTGGTGAGTTCTGTTTATTCATGACACTCTTTGTAACGGCTTTGCCAGAAATTGAAAAAAACGCGCTGAATCTTTCTATATAAAGTTGATAACAAAATAATCAGTGCTTTGTTTTAGTCAATACAATTTGTATTTACATTTCAGACTACCTGTCTTCGTTAATGTTGTCATGTATTAGTTCCTGCATAAGTCAGTGACGGAATTTCATTTTTTGGTCACCCTGCAGCATATTATTCGGGCCACTAAATCTCTCGACATTTTTCTTAAGTAGCAAGGTGCCCCTTGATTTGAAATAGTGAAAATAATATTTCCATACACAAAAGTTACAAAAATTGATAAAGGAGGGGCGATATTGCAGTTCTGCCACTGGAATTAACATATGGGGAAGTTTCGTCATTCACCTCTACTAAATCACTGCCATTTCAGCATTCTCATTAATAATATTCCGATCATAGTAGTTCCGTAATAATCCCGAGAGTCGCGACAATAACAATCGGCTAATACGAGAGTAAAATTCCGGCAATAGCCTGAGTCTTTCATATTTTAATTTATTTTTTAAAAATTGTAATTTATTTTTTTGTTCATATTATACTAACATATATTCTTATTAATTTACTACCAATTTCTGTTCTTCGTAAATATTTGCACCCAAGGTCAGAAAATATATAAATTTAGTTAAAATATTTCTTTTGTTTCAAATTCTCAATATATTTAATGCAAACTATAATTAGTCTAAACCTAATACTTCCAATTATAGGATATATCAATGATATGTATATGTTGTATGACCCATTATTGTTTGTGAAATCTGATAGTTCATCATAATTAAAGACATGGAATCAAATTGAAGGTCGATATATTTCCTGTATACATTATTATTTTATCACATATTCAAGTAGAAAGATACAAAAAACCTTATATGTAGTAATAATAACAATATTGATTATTAATAGTAATAATCCTGTCTACAGTACGTAAATTAATATAATAATAAAAAAAACTTAACTGTAATCAAATTTAAGATACTTGATTAAACACTTAGGTATATCGAAAGTATCGGCAATATTCAAAAGATCCGCTCCGTAGTGTCGTCTGAGCAGAAGTCGAGTTTGCCTTCTCAAAGAAAGCGGTTTTGAAGCAAGATCTAACATGTACGACTTCTGCTTTTGATTCATCACATTATTTCTACGGATCATGCATGGATCGAACGATTCGGATGCCTCCAGCAGCAAATAGAATATCTCTTCAGTGTTGGGAGTCAACACATTATGTAAAGAATTCAGTAAACCGTCCGGATCTCTAAACTGCGTCTTCATAACAACCTAAAGACCATAAGCATTAGTTGATGAACGCACAAGATAAATATTTGTACTTTAGCTCCGTATTGCAATAATAGGGTGACAACTGAAGAATTCGGGTTCTCATTGCTGGCCAAGTATTCGACGAGGACGGGTCTCAGCTGGGAATTCCTGTCATAGATGTCGTTAAAGACCTTCAGATTCGGATCGGCGCCGACTTTCAGCAACATCTTCAGGATTTCCAATCTGTTTGTTATATTATCAGCACTTGCAACGTGAAGAGGTGATCCGATGATTGGTGAGCTGCAGTTCACGTTGGATCCTGCAGATATATTGGAATCAACATTTCCGTGAAAACAAAAATTGAAATTGAGATCAGCTGATCAACAGATCTGTTTTGATTTTCAAGCAGACGTTGTATATCAATAGACGAATGACTTTGAAGTCTCATCAGCTGATCCCCAATTGGAGTGGAGCCAACTATCAAAGACTCGTGATTTGCGTATGCGTTTGCCCGATTTTTCCGAGTATTTATTTGAGTTCTAAATACCTGATCTAATTAGAAGAGAAACGATATTCGAGTCTCCTTTGAGTATGGCCAAATCCAGAGGACTCGGTTTACCGACTTCAAAAACTTCGTCGTAGTTCAATTTGCTTCCCTGCTTGATTAGCAAATTTATAATGTCTATATTTCCTGATAGAACGGCGTAATGCAAAACCTACAAATAATAAGAATTAGTGCGTAGAGTAAAGGAATTTAAGCGGTTGAATATTTACGGTTCTGTAGTCGTTTCTCTCGTCAGTGATAGCATTAACATCGGCGCCGTATTTTAACAGAAGCAATACAGTCTGTAATCCCTAAAAATATCCTTCATAAAAGCGAATTTTTGTTTGCTTCCTCGAATCACTTACACTAGGTTGTCGAGCGGCTTTCATCAGAGGCGTGAGTCCAGCGCGATCTCTGCTCTCAGGATTTGCACCAAAGGTCAACAAGAGTTCGAGGTATTCTGGATCGGTCACCAGATTGATCTCGGATCCGAAGAAGTAACGTTTGTTCGTATCTGCTCCGTGTTCCAGCAATAACCTGACGATCTGCATGTGCTTATTCCTGATGGCAAGGCGCAGAGGCTCATCGCAAAGGGTTGTCCTCGGAAATTCCTCGTTCGTGTTTTCGCGATAATCCACTTTTGCTCCAGACAATAGAAGAAGCTTTACAACTTCGTAATAGCCGTGCTCCGCAGCCAAATGTAAAGCGCTATATCCACACTCATCAACAGCATTGACCTCTCCTCCTCTGGTCAACAAAAGTTGGGCTGCTTCATAATATCTTTGCCATACGGCATAATGCAATGGCATTAAACCTTGGGTCACTTGCTCATTGACCTGGACGAGGATAACAAAAATTAGTCTAAAAGTAAATACAAAAGAATTAAATTCCAGCACCTTAGCTCCGCATGCCAAGATGATCCTTATTTCATCCAATGGGACCATCCGAATTATGGAATCCGCCAGCTCTCGCTGCAGCGGATTCGTAATGAACTCCGTGGGCATTCTCAACCTGCAAAAAGGAAAAAGGTCATCAACTCAATAATTATCCATTGTTCCATTGTGACAATGACAACTTCTTGGCAAGCCTCGAAAGCCTTTCTTTGGCGTACCATTTCGTTTCATTTTTTTTATAATTATTTCCGCTTAATTCCCCTATCTCTAGAAACAGCTGTCGCCTGCAGTTGCGAATCTATTTGTGGACGCAAGGTCGTGGCCAGCGGGAAGTATGTGCGAAAATAGAATATTCTTTGATTTGACTGCAGCTTCCACCGTCGTGTTTTGTATGCAAAATGTCATTTTCTAATCGTAATCATTGGATTCGCTGCCAATTGCAGGATGCGCGTGTCGAAAGGCCAGAGGGAATACCCGTAACGCAATAGGCATAGGTCAGAAAAGTATACAAAATCAATAAGTTTTATTATTTTGAGTACCATTGTAATTCAAAGTAATAATGGTGTGTACCATTTTCGAATGTGTACAAAATAATGCATTTAAAATGGTACATAAAAATAAATAGATGGAATGAATATAAATCAAGAAAAGAAAACCATGGAATATTTCGGTTTTGAAATTGAAACGCATGACGAAAATGACGATGTTTCGAAATTTATTTGCTAGAGTTCCACTTGGAACGCTCGTTTCGTGTAGAAAGTGCATTTCCTCACTGCCAATAATACATTTTTTAAAGCATTTTAATGCTCGTTTTAATTTAGTTCTATTTATTAAATATAATTTACTAACTTGATTTTTTCAACAGAAACGTAAGATAATTTAGATTAAAAAGAAATATAAGCATTTTTTTTCAAATATAGATATCAATATGCTATGATTTATTTCTTAAATAGTCAATTTAAACGTTCATTTGTATATTATGTGTCACCAGTGCCTCGTATAGTGCGGGATATCTGAAATTGAGCAACATAAAAATAAACAGTACATTGTGACTGTATACAGGAAAAATAACGATTATTTATTTGTAAAAAATAATAATTTTTTATACTAAATTTATAGATTTAATTTTTATTTTGCTTAATTTAATTTTGAAACCATACCTTTGTAAATCCGCACTTATCGTAGCCGCACTATGTAAGTTATTACTGTTGTAATCTATACACTATTACAAAATATATTAATAAGAAAAGAAATTAATATTAATTGAAAACGGAGAAATAATATAATCTAATTTTTCAAAAATACTCTTACTTCAATGACTGTTTTGAAATATTTAAATTGATTTGTTATAATAACGTAATAACTTCATTAATTAATAAGGATGAAATAATATATTATTTTAATTTAAAAAATATACGATGTATGTGCAATATTATGATTTCTTACTTCAATTGCGCTGGTGTTGTTGCTCAAAGATGAAGAAACAATTAAACTTCACTCGTATTTTGCTAAACTGTAGTTCTTTTTATGAGAAAAAGCAATGTTTTGTTCTGGTGGTTGATATTGCAGTGAATATATTTTCCCCTATAGGTCCTATCGCTGTGACGCGTTTGGAAAAACTGGAAAACGCGCACAATTACGCCTTTATTTATACATACTGAAGCGGCCAAACATCACACACACTCAAAACAACATGCATCCTGAAAATATCCGCCCCGCAGAACAAAAACTTAATGCGATTAATATAATTATTTATTTACATGCGTCGCGACGCTCAACGTCTTCAAAACAAGTAAAAGAGGGTCGAGGGGGTCGGTGCATCGGTAATCTCGGACACGGCCAATCGGCCGAAACTATGCATATTTTTTTACGCCTTTGTTGTCGTCGAAATAAGAAGAAAATCGAGGTCCTTTTCGGGTGGACTGTACTGGGCCCGATGCCAAAGACGAAGTATACGAGAGCCGTTTTTATTAAGGAGATGATCTGATCCGATCCGATGCTGCGGTCTAGTCGGAAAACCCGAACCATGCATGCCTTCAACTCATCAGATGCAATTCTCTTTCCGATCATCAAACATATCCATCCATTCGCAATAGACGTACCTACGCACTGTCTCCCCGCGCCAATTCCTGGTCCTGTGAAATCTCGTCATCGTTATTACTTCCCCCAATAAAAACAAACCAAAACAATGGACACACAAACAAAACGCGCACTCGATTTCGACCTTCTTGTAATATTTTCTGGGAACTATTTTTCTCCGTTATCAGGATACGTCTAATTCATATAACCAATTCGACGGTCTATTCTAATCCGAGACGTTTGAGTGTGCATGTGTGGTGTGTTTGTGTGCTCTCGCTATTTTTAAGAACACAAATTCTGACCTGCACACTAGGCAAACAAACACCTTCGTATTACATAAGAATTGACTTATTTTTACGATAAAGTTTGATTCTCAGGAATCACTTGCATCTATCTCCATAATCATTTTGTAAACAACAGCAAATGAACTTCTCATTAGTCTGAAAACATCAACAACGCAACATGTGCTAATGAATTTGTTTACAAATTATTATTTATTTACAATATTTTTCTCAAAAATAATTCTATTTACATCAAACGTTACTAGTTATTTACGCTATATAGGATAAGAATTTATTTTACGTCGTCTTATTTTGATTTGCATATTCAGAACAATGTTGTTTACCATTTACCAAGGTTCCTACTTGGTAAATGGTAAACAAATTTGAAAGTTAATATATCATTATACTTTTAAGTAAATATAACGTTTTAAAACATAAGTCTATGTGCATAAATAAAAAAAATATTAAATAAATTATTAATAATAACAATAATTTATTGGCCAGAGTATATGTACAAAAAACATAAATGAAACCAAAGAGAAAAAATATAAAATTGATAAATACACTAAAATATTAGAAATTCACAATTAAATCCTGAAAATAACAATTAATAAACAATAAAAAATAATAATTAAATAACAATCTGGCCAAATCGCTATCGACATTAAACGCTTTAAATCAAACATTTCTGGTTATTTACGTTAAATCGAAAATATAATTTCTAATTATGTTTATATTATTTACATATTCAGAACAATGTTGCTTAATATTTCGTTAAACCGTGATCTCTTAAAAAGTCTATTTGTTGTACTTCAATCTAATACCAGAGATTTTAATGGTTTAACTACTACACTCATTGCTCTCTTTGTTTAATCAGAAGACATATTTATGTATTTTACTTCAATTCAATGTTTGAAATATCCAAAACAAAGACGATAATTTGAATCCCACCTAAATTTAAAAAAAAAACAAAAAGGTTGCGGAAATAGGGTTGTAATTATTTATTTAATTAAAGTTTGGCAAATTTCTTTATTTACTGTACTACTGTAGTTTCAGTATTCTAAATAATAATAATAATTTATTGGCCAAACATTAATACATAAGGAAAAAAAAGTACATTCTTTACATATAAATAAATAAATTTTAACATACAATAGAAATATATATAATAATAGGCTGCCCAAAGGGCTAACGACCGGGGTCTTTCCGCCCACAGTATTCTAATATTCAGTGTTTATTTATTCTAGTTTCAATATTGAAAGTAATTAATTGTAGTGTGGAAACCTTCAAAAGGAACCACGGCTGGTACAAAACCGAAGCCTGTGAGCAGACGTGTTGGCCACTGACTTTTTGCCCATACCGGTATGTCTTCGTGCTCTCGTTCCGCCCTTGCCCTGTTGAGTCAGGTACACTCGCCATCATCCGCCTGCCTCACTAAATTTCTCTTTCTCCTTGGTAGTCATTATGCCCTTTACGTAACCCACCACTACGTTCCATCTATCCTGACTCTCCGTAATGACTTTTACCATGTTATCCGACTCCGATTCCAGTTCGGCCACCAGTTGCATCTGAAGAGGGTGTGCTCTAGATCAGTGACTCTCATAGTGTGGAAAAATACTTGGGGGGGTCGCAGAAATGTTGAAATTTTTAAGTGTAAGATCTAGATAATCTGGGCAGTACAAACACTTAGGGTCGTTCTTCTTGATGAAGTGGAGGTATTTCCCAAAGCACCCATGCCACGATAGTACTTGTGTGAGACAGAACAGCATTTGGAAATTCCTTGACCAGAAGCCCTGGGGCTTTGCCGATTTTTATTATATCACGTGCTCTATCAAGTTCGTTCTTTGTGAACGGTAGCCATAAAGAATATTCCTCTTTCTCGTCAATGGGGTTTAAGTCTATTAAAAAATACACATACATATTATGTACACAAGTTTTAAAAATGATGTAGCAGGTGCACAATCCTGGACTTCTCTTCTCATCGTCACTCGTTTAGCGAATCATTTTTTTACAATTCATTTTGCTCGTTATGCGACCTCGCTTACGGGCGTTCAACTGTATTTATAGTTTCCTTCACGTGTTCTCCACCTTTGTCACTGGTATTGCCGTCTGGCTGTTTCTTCTTAGTTCGGCAATCTCGTTTAATACAGCAATATTTGACATCTTGTGACTTCGATTAATCCGGTCATTGTATATACTGTGAGCTAATGCGGCTCTTGTTGAGTCAAGAGCGGCTGCCATTAAATTTTTATTTTTAAATTGTATTACTAAATAATAATAACATTTATTGTAACAAATCATAATACATATTAAAAAAAAATAACATAATATAACAAGAAAATTAATAAAAACAAATTGATCTGCTACCGTAGGTAATTATGCCATTATATTTTTAAAATGTTGAAATAATATATTCTTTTTCATAATTATATTTTGTTTATTTGTTTTATGTTCTTATATGTGATAATATGCATTTACATTAAATAAAAGAAATGAATTTGTGTACCTACGTGTGGCTCTTTTTAAAATATAAAAAACCGAATTAGTGAGGGCAAACCTCAGATATATACAATTAGTACAAACAAAAAATTATTTTTTATACGAAAATGATCATTTATTTCCCTTTAGTTGCTCAATTAGTCTGATTTCAAACTATCATTATAGAACAATTCTTAACAATGATATTACAAATAAATTATTAACATTATTAAATTTAATTTTCCATCTCTTCATAAATTGGTTGCAAAAAACATAAATTATTTCATTAAACATATACTACTTTAAATCTTGTTTATAATTATAAAGAGTCTAGTTTATTTCAATTCTATTTACATTCTATTTCGAACAATTTTGTTTACCGTTGCTAAGCAAGTAAAAAAGGTCTAAAATATATGCGCTTATTGTGTTGCTACATTGTTGTCAACAAGTTAATAGACAAGCTATAGATATTTATATTCATTTATATAATTTAACTGAATATATTACACGTAATGGAAGAAATATCCTAAAAAGTTGACAGTCATAATCATCTATGCTAAGGGTCCCCAATCATATGCCTGCGGATACCATTACGCCCGCCGACCATTTTACATGTGCCCGCCGCTATGCGGCCACGATAAAAAAAAATGTGCATTATGTGTATTATTGACTATGTCAAACTATAAATTTACCTTGAAAAAATAAATGGTGCCCGCCGCCCAACCTCCATTCTAGAATGTGCTCGTGGGTGCAAAAAGGTTGAGGACCCCTAGTCTATGCTACAAATTATGGGATCTTTAATATGTAATAATAAATTATTTTTATTTAAAACGTGGTCTATCCTGTTTCTACAAACGGTTTTTCAGTCTTCATTTATTTCGTAGATAAATAATACACATGCTTCTTCGCGACTTTAATTGTTACAGCTACCGAATATGGAACATTTTCTAAAAAGTAATAAATTCATTTGAAATAGAAATAAAAATAATATGACCCAAGGCGGCATAAACTGTACTAGACTTCCTAATTAAATGTAATATACAATGTAATAATAATCTCATGATAGGTAACAAAAAAATATTTCGCAAAAATGCATTTTTCATATCACTAAATAATTGTATAAGTTAGGAATTATTATTGAAATAATAAAATTTGTTAATGAATTAATCACATAATATACAACAAAAAAGAGTAAAATTTACTACTTTATGCGAGTTGTAATCAAAATATTTGTACTCGAGATTTCAATAGGTAAAATTAACATAAAAAAAAAATTACTAATATATTACCAAATTAAATATAATTATTTAAATATGTACATTTAAAAAAAAGATGCACAACTATTGCTTTTTTCGTTTCGTCGTTCGACTCGTATCGCCGGTACGTTTTCGTTTCTGAGCTATCTCAAAACTGTTACTAACTATTAATTGTTTTATTTCCTGGTGCATGGTCGTCATATCATCCGTCAAATCCAAGACCGTTAATCCTGCGAAGTTCTTTATCGTAATATCAGCTCCAGCTTTAATCAGCAATTCTACAGTTTCGACTGCAACGATAAATAAGATATGTATCAAAGATATACCCAAATAATACATAAAAAAGTATAAGTATAAGAGACAATAAGAGCATAATAAGAAATTTTAATTCTAATGAAGTAGTAATCAAGATTTTCATAAATCAACCATCTTCATAATACCCATTAAATTTAATGAAACAGAAGATACATTTTTAATATTATATCTGTTAAAAATGTCGTCGCTTACACAACATATTTGTTTGTAGTTGTATTGCGACCAAATTGCTAAGAGTATTCTAGTTCCTCACTTTAACACGAGAATAAATGTCGAAACCAAGTGTACGTTCGTGTCATCGTGGAGTAAGTTTATGCGAATGAAGATGCAAATTTTCAGTCCGATTCGTATATTACTTTTATAGTAATCAAAATATATAACCATAATACAAATATACAACCTCAAACTTTGTTTATATCGTACTCGCTATCTAAGCTAATTGGTAACTCGGAAATTCCTAAAATAAGCGCCATATCCTTCCTTACATATTTGTATCATGATATATACCTGCATTATTTTCTACTGCATAGAATAAAGCCGTCCGTCCCGACTTCTTATCTGTGACGTTCAATTCGACGCCATGCTTTACTAACGTATTTATATCTTCAATGTTGTTTTCAATTGCGCTAATCATCAGTGGCGTGTAACCTATCAAATAAATAGTATGTTAAGCATAGTATAGTCGATTTACAGTATTGCATATCTACCATCATGATTACACTGATTTATGCATTCAATATTATTCCATACATTCAACGCTTGTAGCGTTTTCATATAGTTCTTAGTTGCTGCTATGTGGAAGCAGTTGTTTCCTGAATCATCGGTAAAATCCATTGCTGCTCCAAATTTTAACAACATCTTTGTGATTTCTATTGGTGCATTGTACATAACAGCCAAGTGAAGAGGAGTCTGAAAATTGTACCTTTAATACTGTATATAAATGTTAATAAAAAATGTATTACCAATCCATCAGAACACTCCAAATTGATGTCATTAGTTTTGATCTTTAACACTATACACTGTCGCGTCACTGATATTATGTCATGATCCAATACTGCATGATGAATGGGACTAAAATGTTATTAATTAATTAAAAAAAATAATAAAAATGTAAAATATTCACTAATATCCATCATTATCAGGTATATCACATTGAACCCAATATGGGTACACCTTCAATTGGAGGGGATCATCAATTTCATTTTGAACTTTTGGAAAATTCAAACTTGTTCCCATATTCACATTTGACCCAATTAATGGTGAAGACAATGTTATCTTAGGGTCAACAAAAACATTAGATTCATAAATATTATCCACATTACTACAATCATTAGTATATTCTTCACCAGCAAAAGTGGATATACCAGGTTCTACATTAATTTCATTACTCACTACACTTGTTAGCTTCAATTGCATATTATCTGATTGTTCAATTTCATTTTGTGCTAATTTACATAATACTTTGTTTTGCTCGAGTTCTTGTAACTTAATATTTAACTCTTCATATTTCTGTTTCAATTCTTCATATATTTTCAACAGATCCTTATAGCAGTTACATAATTTACGGCAAGCACATTCTTGTTGATTTTTGTTTGTTTGTAGATAAGAATGTTTCTTTATTACTTTATACGAGTGTTTGGATATTGGCTCTAGAAATATATTATTCTTGGGAAGCTCTGTTTCACCTCTTTGTGGTACTGAAATTTCTTCACTGGTTCCATCTGCTTTTATACAAGGGATCTTTATGAACTTTTTCACTTCAATCTTTTTATCACTTTCAGCTACTGGTGCAGTTTCTGTCATTATTTTAATTGATCTCTCAATTGGTATAAATTTGCCACTTTTCACTTTAACAAATCCAAATAGTTTTTTTGAAGCTGCAAAACAAAATGTACATATTATTGAGGTTATTAAACCAGTATCACTTAATAAATGAATAACTCACCCATTATTTAGTCTTTAACTTATGTTTCACATAAAACGTAATTGAACGAATAAATAATAAACAGTGGAATTTATACAAATGACTGAAGCACGGGATTCCCCTAAATGCTTGCCAGATTGTAACCATTTTAACCCAGTACCAAACTATACTAATAAGCACAGGTCTGCCAACACATATTTTCAGTCAGTTATAATAAAAATTAGGGTAATTCCCTACAGCGAATGTAATGTATTTTTGATCCAAATTATACACATGCAACCAAATATACAAAATACGTTTTATAAAACATGTTATCTTTTATAGAAAATTAGAAAATTCAGTACAATGATAATTTCAATTTTTATTTATAGATGTATCAACATTTTTCTTAAGGTAAATTTGTTTTATTTTCGTAGCATCTTTTGTCATCATCAATTATTACTTATTTATTTAATGTACTAACCTTATAAATACTGATATTGTTACACACGTGCAGTACTTACTGAAAATTACTCACTCACAATGACGTTATCTATCTTTATACATGCCTTATATCAAACGCTATATCACATGACCTGTGGTCGGGAGTTCCCCTGATTGAAAACAAAATGTTGTTGTAAATTGTTCTCAACAAGTATTTCGTAAAGTTAAGACGTATTAAAAATATTATAGAATTATATTATTTTTGGATATATTGAGAATAAGTTGTATTAACTAACAAATTAAAAACAAATAGATGTAATGATATATTTTAGGATATGATTCATTTATTGGTAAGTTAAGTAACTATGCTTATTTTGCTTTTATGACTAATAAAGCAGTAATGTATAAATATATAGTTCCTGGTATGTCAATAAAGAAAATAAGGTTAACATAGCAAAATTATAAATAAAGAAATAGCAGAATTCTGCATATGAAATTTAAAGATGAAAATATATTATATTTTATACAAATGAAGAGTAATAATTACATAAATATTGTTTATATTGACTACAATTTATAAAATGAAATAGTAAAAGTCAATTCAACTACTTTTTATCTTGTATTGATTCTTTGGTTGCCTAGTACTATAAATTCTAATTTGAAAAAGAAAATTACATGTGCTTCCATCTTATACTGAGATGCTAAACCTAGATCATTTAAAAATATACTATATTATGTAGTTAATATTCTGTATAGCATTTGAATACATTAATTGAAATTTTAATAAATATTATAATTAATTACTATCACGTTTTATAAAATATACAATAATTTAATAAAGTAGAAAAATACTTAAAAATATAATTCAAGACTTGTCCAATAGATGGCACCGTATGGTTTTTATTTAAATATCCCATTCGAGAGAATAAATCTTTCGAGGTCTTTATATAATAATTAACTAAGTTGGAATGAATTATTACCCTTTGATACAATCATAAATATAGAGTACTAAACTAATATTGAAGCAAGTTGTTATTGATATTAATGATTTTATTACAAATATTTAATATAGTTTGAGTATAACTCATGGACAACATAAATTAATGATATTTTTACCTGGCATATCCACCAAATGTTGCTTAGATATTGTATCAACAGCTTTTCCTCGCGTAGATCGGCTTCGAACAGTTTGGATTCGCTATACCGGCTGAAAAAACAAACTAAATTTTGTTTGCTATAATAAAAATAAATTTTTAAAACAAAAATTAGTACACATTAGTTTTAATACATAAATGTTCGTCAGCGACAACATAACAAGTTTGGGAAACCGTATATCATACTTCCTTGATCCGCACCCTCACATGGGACTATTCTTACAGTCAGCCATTCATAAGAAAAAAACCCACATTTAACTCTCCAAAAACGAAATCAAAAATACGTCAGCAGAAACTCAAAGAGCCGAGGCCTTTAGCATTTGTACAGCAATCGTCGGAGGAAGAGATGATTGAGGAATTATTGCTCTCGTTCTTCCGTGAACTTGACGATGTCCTTTGTAAGAAAAGTTCTAAAGTTCTAAAATCAAAAATTCCGATTTAGCTCCAAGTATTAAAATGTTAGGAAGCAAGAATAGAAGTAATATATTAGTTCAGCGTTTCCCAAACTTTTTGGTCCTGCACCACCGTTTGCACTTACAAAATTTCCGCGAACTCCCCAAAGAATGGGTATGTATAGAAAAATATCCAGGGTCCATCTGTCATTATTTTTTCTGCGACCTCCACTTTCAGAATCAGTGCCTTAGTTCATTCACAGAAGATTCAGAATGTCATGAATTAGAACGCTAGATCTTTCGCTAGTCTACCTACCATATAAATGTCATGAAATACTCCAATACACCTAAATAATTTTATAATCTATCGTCATTATCTAAGTCGTGTCAAAGGTTTTCCTAATCCCGTTATCATACGTGGGCTCTAACAAAAGATCGCTAAATTAGCTGAAAAATAAACAAAATAGTAACAATTTAATTTTAATATTTTTAATTTTCATCCTTTTGTAATTTCTCTACATAATTTCCATTAAGCCCTTTTAAAGTAAATCGACATCATCATTTTTGTTACTGATTTTTGTTGTCTTGCTTTACCATGGAATGCTGCTTGGTTCTCAGGTTATACTTATAAAATCACCTAATCAAGATTCATCATCTATTACGATTTTACTAAAAGTGCTAGAATCTCCATTTGCAAAATTGTCCAAGAAATATTCGGCAAAACGAACACGTGCCTTTATTTAGTCATTTAAAAATTGTGGAACTCATCGAGCGGATTTATTCGTGCAGCCAAATTAATGATTTAATATTTGCGACAGAGCCATGACATTCAAGTCCAGTTCATCAACTACCATTTCCTGTGTCATTCATGGATCTTTGTTAATTTTTGCCTTCACCGGGGTTACATTTGTACCATCAGGTGAAGATTTCGGGCAACCTTCATCATGTTCGTCCTCCACAGAAAAAGGGATGAAACACTCCATATGCATTTTGGAATTCTTGGAAAATTTGCATAGGCTTGAGTTGATGTCGAAATCCATAAAGAATGGCAAACCAATTTTTCATTCCATCCTATCCATTCTTACCGATCTTCTTGAAATTTGACATGAAATATTGTTAGACTTTAATAAATTTAGAAAAAACTTTTGGAAATAGAAAGCTTATATGCAAAGCGAAATAACATTTTAAAATATAAATCTAAACTTGATCATTTGTGTTTTGTTTCTCTTTCATTTAACAATCGTTTATATGGAGTTATTGCATTAAAAATTGATAGCTTAACAATAACTCTTAAATCAGGATTTTTTTTGACTTTAAATCTTTGGTTGTTTACATTTTTTTGGTAGGCACTTCTTACATTTCGTATTCTTTGTCTTCGCTACTAACAAGTTTTCTTAAATTGTCTATTCAATAATCTGCATTAAATTATTTCGTTACATCCATTTCATCGACATTTTCAAACCTATTGATTGAACCATCTAGATCAGTGATTCTCAAAGTGTGGGTCGCAGAAAAATTGACAACAGATCAATCCAAGATATTTTTCTACACATACCTAATCTTCTGGAGGTCGCAAAACCTTCGTATCAAAAAGTTTGAAAAACGCTGATCTAGATAACTTATTTTCTAATTTTGTTGTTCTAGTATAAGTTCAGCCTATATTTTGAGCCTCCATTTAAGCATTTCTTATAGTCTTCTTTCCAAGAACTATTCATGTTTTCGGACAATTGCGGACTACGTTATGAGAAGTAACATGACTGTAATACTTTTATTATGACTTATTTATATTTTATTGATAATTTAATTACAATTTATTGGTTTCTTCAAACTCATAAGTTAAATATAAATTACAAATAAAATTCTTACCTTAATGGAGTTTTTATTTCATTTAGGATATTTTTTTATAGTAATCCACTAAAATTTTTAGGTGATCAAAAATATTTAAGTATTTAACTTAATAATATTAAATTAAATCATGTAATTTTTTTTTGTCGTGTAATTTTATTACAATCTGTTCATCAATGTGAACATTGAGTAAATTTAGGATCGCGGTAAATTTAAGATTAGATAGATAATCTTTTTCGGTGGATAGTTACCATTATGATATTTTTTTCTAATTTGTAGGTTCGCTGTCATCTTGTGGGTTAACTTCAGTAGTATATTGATGTTCTGCGAATCTGCTGCTATCCTTAACACTGTCATTGTCCATCGACTTGGCTGAAGGTCCATATGCTGAGCCTCATTCATTTGATTGTCTATATGTGATGAACGATGGCCCTATTGATGCAAGCACCGAATGGGCTCACAAAGTGCCTGGCTTGACCAGGATTTGAACCTGTGACCACTGGCACGTGGGTAAGGCGACTTAACCATTCGGCTATTAGTCGTCCAATACATGTAAATGAGGAAATGTTGTAGGATATATAAATGAAAAGACGAAGAGTTATTTTTTATTTTTTAATATTTGCTATTCCAGTAAATAGGTTACATAACCACACATACAGTTTGTTTCATACATCGAAGTTTTGAAAGTTTTTTTTTCCTCTTCATCGTCGAACAAACAGAAAAGAGAAACGTAATAAAAAGAAAAACAAAAAGCGCGTGTATACAGAACGGAACATCGTTAAAAAGAAGAAAACATAATTGGTGTACATGTTGTGGGGGGTGGGTTTTGGGGATACAAGTGGGGAGATGGGAACAACGTAATGAGAACAGTACAATGTATCATTAATTAATAATTACAACAGTAAAAAAAGAACAATCAAATAATCAAAGAACGTGAAAAGAAACTTAAGAAAAACACAAAACGTAACCGGAAAATCATTCTGTTTTGCATCTTCGTTTAATTGAAGGATTTGTTTTTTTTATCTTCTTTAGCTTCCCTTATCTTACCTAAAACCTAAATTTAGTTTTTTTTTGTTTTAAATTTATTCCTCATTCATAAATCGCCGAATATATATAAAAACCAAACAGAATGGCGAATTTCCATCATTAAATATAAATATGTACAAATCATTTTGTTTGTTTTTTTTTTGTGTTAATGCCTCAAAGTTCACAGATAATTTTTTACATTAGCCTAAAGTTCGATTTCTTTAAAATAAATCTCATGTACATAAACATATTTTTTTTTAATTCTATACACGTTCAATTTTTTTTTCGAATTTTCTTTTTTTGGTCATTTATTTACGAAATATAATTTTTACGAAAAATTTGCTTCATTTTTTT